AAAAAAAAAAAAAAAAGTGAGAGAAGCAAGTAGAAATCAAACATTCCATTAGTTAGTCCTTTTAGAAAGAATTTTGCAATTGAAGACAAAAAAAACAAACAAATCAGAAAAAAGGTAGTAATAATGTAGATCTGTGCAATGTGGAGAGAATGTGACGGGAAAGAAGATGAAAGTTGTTCATACCATCAACAGGAGCGGGCGGCGCAAGAGCAGCAGCAGTAGCAGCGTGTAGAAAGCACAGAGAAATCAAGAAAATTACTACTTTCAAAGCCATTTTCGGACAGCAGAGAGAGTGAGAGAGGTAGGTTTTTGAAGATAGAGTTAGCAGCATCTTTGCATTTATTTATACAAATGTGAGTGTGTGTGTGTGTGTGTGTGTGTGACTGTGTGAAAGTGTGAAGAACAAATAATTGCATATGGGGCAAAGGCAGTGGGACGAGAATTTTGTCGGCTTGTCTGTAAAAGTATATCTGTTTTCAATACTTTCTTTCAACTTTTTGACCCTTTTCCTCCTCCATCTATGAATTTCCTTGGCCATTCATTTTATTACGTGTGTCCTAATTATATCATTTTTTTTTTTATATGTTATAATTAGTTTTGCTTTTGTTGGATTCCAAATTTCCAATTTTGTGATGTCTACAAGATGGTGCACAACTCAAATGAGAATTGGCCATGATATCCTTAATTAATGTTCAAGCCTTAGACTACGATGTTACGAGGATGGGCTTATAAACTTCATCAAGGAAAATAATTCGGTGTATACGAAATGCTTACTTAATGCGGAAGACAACATAATTAGTGATCTTAATCTTGATGATCACACGAGGCTTGATCGATTGTGAGAACTAAATTAGTTTCTCCCTCCTGTCCAATCTTAACGTAGCAGAAAAGTGATGGGATTATGACTGTGTACTCTAATAGGAGGAGAGATGACTAATTTATATAGGGGTGTCTTTAGATCTGGTACGTCCATCAAATATCCAGATTAATGACTTAGATTTGTTTGACTATTAAATAAGGTCTGGCCCAATAGGATAATTAAATGTGAGCCCAATGCTTTCGGGCCACATATTCTTACATTCCCCACTTGGTCCGAAAGCCCATAATTTAATAGTATAACATTAAGTGCACATTAACAAATCTCATTATGCCATACATCATAATAAACTATGACATGCTAAACCATATAGTAAGAGTTATGGCGGTTGTACACTCTCGATTCGCATACTTCCTTTCATATACTACTACACTAATAGTTCAACACATCAAGTTCCATAATTTTATATAAATATCATAAGGTCCACTTAATTGTCATGAAGACATTCATTTCTTGTTCTAAACATAATGTATACAAAATCATAATGAACAAGAAATTCGATAATAGTCAGAAACATAACATCAATGAGCTCAAGAGTGTGCCATAACATCATCATAATCAATCATCAATACAACCAAGACCATTCTATGTACATGTTCTTTAAATGTCTTTGGTTGTAGACCTTTAGTTAACGGATCGGCAATCATAAGGTTCGTTCTTATATGTTCAATGCACACTCTTTATTTCTGAACTTCCTCCTTAACGGCAAAGTACTTTAATTCCATGTGTTTTGCACCCTTGGAATATTTGTCGTTTTTGGAGAAGAAAACTGCTTCGGAATTATCGCAATACAACTTCAGCGGCTTGGTAATGGTGTCGACAACCCCAAGTCCCGAAATAAAGTTCCGCAA